TACCTGAAGTATAGAGGAATAAGACAAGGACATTAAATGTTGAGAAAGAAGATGGTGGCAAAAGTGCACACATTGTATGATCCCATTTATATCAACTTCTAGAAAATAAATATCAACATGTAGTGCCTGGGAAGTACGTTGGTGGCTAAGTTTTTGCAGAAAGGGCTAAGATGAAAAAGGAGGAGGAGGAGGAAGATGAGAAGGAGGAGGAAGACAAGGAGGAGGGCATGAAATTTAAAAGCTGGATGGCCAACCTAGAACGTCAATGTTTTCCTGAAGCAACCAAATCAGCTGGAATCTGTATACTGGAATCCATTCCCATACTGGATGAATACTTTTAAAAGAGATGAAAATGAAGTAAACATACAGATTAAATGTGATCTTCACATTTCAGGTACTTTAAAGAAATTTTTTAAAAAACTGTCATGGAGGCACATCCTGGTGAAATTTCTGAATTATAAGAATGAATTTTAAAATCCCACTAGCACCAGTAACAGGGTAGGAGGATTACAAAGGGATATCAATCAGGCTTACTCCAGAGGCTCTTCCTCTGAAGCCCTGGAAGAGCGTGGATTAATTGCCATAGCCACAATGTTTTGAAAGAAAAGATGATGACCTGAGAATGGTGAATCCAGCCAAGCCCTCATTCCAACATGAAAGCAGTTTCAGAAATGCATATGCTCAGAGAATACACCACTCCACTCGCATACCCCATGCCTTAGATCAGGCTCTCTGGAAAGCAGCCTCTGAGATGAGACCCACATACCTTCCTTGCAGGAGGTTTCCTGGGGAGCTGCTTTGAGCAACACCTGGGGAGAGGGAGGAAAGCACACTGGGCAGAGGGAGAAATGGAGCTGGGGGAAATTGCAGAAGAGACCTTGGCCAAGCCCACAGAGAGCTCTGGAGCTAGGGGAGCCCTTAGTGGACCTAAAAAGAGGCAGGCTGATCCCTACTCCCTGCAGTGCCGAGAGTCACTGGGCGTTGGCTGCCCCAGGACAGGGACATGTCCTTGGCCCGGCCTGGAAGCTTCCTTCCACTACAGGCAATTTTGAGAGGGTGTCAGTTGTGACTACCACTGGCCATGGGAATGAGGGCCTAAATCCTGAAAGGACTTTGGTGGCCTCTTTACCTTCATCTAAATATTTTTTTCTTTACCTTGAAGGTGTACTCTGGTCAACTAAGGGATGGAATTGACAATATAAAACTGGCAAAGAGTTTTCTTAATTCATTCTTAACCCAAAACCCTGCTTCGATATGTATTTTAATGAAGCCATAAGGTAAAGATTCGTCCTTTATTCCCCATCTTGTTCTCTTGCTCCCTGAAAGGCCTTCCATAGCCCTGTAGAAACTCCTTCTACAGTTTAGAAACTGGGATGTTTACTTTCATTTTTCTTTTTTTAACAATGGCTAATGTATGTACAAGGTTAGAAGATTTTGCGGGGAGGATTAGCTAAACAAAAGACTTCCATTTCTCTCACAGAAAAAAATACAGTGAAATCATGGCCATCTTCTATTCTTTTTTTTAAAAGTTGTTCTTTTTAGTTATTACATGACAGTAGAATGTATTTTGACCTATCATACATACATGGAGTACAACCTCCCATTCCTGTGGTTTAACATGACGTGGAGTTACACTGGTCGTGTATTCACATATGAACATAGAAAAGTTAGGTTCGATTCATTCTATTGTCTTTCCCATTCCCACCCCTCCTTCCTTCCCCCATTCCTATCTGTCCAATCTGGTGAACCTCTACTCCTTTTGCCCCCAACCCCCCACCTATTTCATGACCATTTTCTCATGCAGTAATTTAGTGATGATTTCCTGCATCCTTCAAAGCCTTATTGAAAACAGTGTAACTCCACTTTCACCAGTGGGATGATAGCAAGTGGTGCCCATCCAGCAGGGTGGCCAGGAGGCAGAGAGCGAAGGAAAGTCTCACCTTGTGTTTTTTACTCTTCTTTTCCTCCACCCAGCCCTCTGCCAAGAAAATAGTCATGAAGTTAGTTTATTTCAATCAAGTTGATTCCATTAATTTCCTTTTTTTTTTTTCATAAGGAAAGATTAATGGACCACTCAGTGGTGGATACTTTATCTCCCTAAGCACTTCTGCCTAATAACCAGGACTAGGGCTTGTGGATGTTTCTCAGTACTAAGTCCAAAAGTTAATATGTGCAAAGTAATATCAACTGTTAAGTGAAAAGAAAAAGGCTGATGGTAAATTCTGTCTTGGAGGTGAAAACTTGGGTGATTTAAAGTTTTGCTTTTTTTCATTTTCTTTCTTTTTTTTAAATTTTTTGGTCCTGGGATTAAACTCAGGGGTGCTTTACCACTGAGCTTCATCCCCAGCCCTCTTTATTTTTAATTTTTAGATAGATAGGGTCTTGCTAAGTTGGTGAAGCTGGCCTCAAACTTTCAATCTTCCTACATCTCAGCCACCCAAATTGCTGGGATTATGTCTGGCTTCACTCTTTAAATTAGACAAAATAAATATTACTCTAAATCAATATAGGTGGCTGCTTATTCACTATGGGAACACAACTTAAAGTGAAATTAACTATTATTATTTCTGGGAAAGGGGAAGAGGACAATGAGTGATTTTTCTTTCTTCAGTGTTTCACATTTTCATCTACAATAATTCTTTGCATGCTACAATGGTAGAGAACATATTATTTCTGTAAAGAGCTTGGAGAACAAACTTTTATTGTTTGTTTTGCTTTTAAGTTAAGACTGTGCCCACCAACTCTTGACCCAGGTTAAAAACGGCTTTGGAAAGTTCTGTTTCTTACCCTCACCCAACCTCTGCCACTGCTAGGTTGCAGCAGGCACATTTGGAGATCTTGCTAGTAATAAGCACACTCCTGAAATCATCTGGGCCCAAGGATGGGGGCAAATAATAAAATTCCTAATTCACTTGCAGGGGGAGAATGGGAGAAAGGTGAGTCTTTTCAGAGCAGAAACTTGTTCATAGTCAGATTAGGTCTCCTTCTTTGTGTAGTGTAGTCCTCTCCAGATGGTTCTGTTTGACTTGGTCACAAGGATTTGATTATTGGCCACCACAAGCTTCTACACCCAGCTGATGAAGGGGAATAAGAATAAAGCAAAAGCCCCATCTGTATGATGGAAATAAAATGGAGCCCCAATCCCACCTCTAATTCCTCTTCCATTCCTTCCCTTTTTCTTTTTGCTGTAACACTTATCACCTTTCTTTTACTTTCCTTTTTATCTATTGTTCTGATCCACACAGGACTTGAGATCCGTGAGGGCAGGAATTTTCTTTTGTGGGGTGATATATCCCTACATGCCTACCACAGAGCCTGGACATAGTGCATGCTCAGTACATACTTTAGAATGAGTGAATCTATATTTATTGGGATAAAAGGGTTGGTGACATAATGAAGTGAGGATAGGTAACAAGGCAGCACATAGAGCATAATTGTCACTAAAACAAAGAGATGCATGTGACAGGGAATCCAAGTTGGGAAGACTTGTCAAAGTTGATTATAGATCTGGGGATTTTGAGTGGTTTTCTTTTCATCTTCATTGTTTTTGGGGCTGTCTGAATCTGTCTTGTGAAAAAGTTTTACCTTTATGGTCATATAAAAATGTTCCTTTCAGTTTAAAAAAGAAGAATAAAAGTGGGACCCTGACTAATACCGGCAGCCAATGGGAATGGGGGTGGCTCATTCAGTGCCAAGTGGGCATCTTGGTGAGGGAGACAACCCTTGAGTCTGGCCGGGCACTGCTTCCAGGGCATGTCAACACCCCCCACACTGGTGTGAATCCCTAGGGGCAACCTCTTGCTATGGGCCTGGACTCTCCATATGGTTACTGCTCTGTGAATTGCAGTTTTCCTCCCATGGCCCACTACTACCTCCAAATGAGTGAAGCCTGTTGTAAGATAATATTATTATGCCTTTGGAATTCAAATCTAGGCTCCAGTGGTGATTGTGAATATTAGAGTGTGCTGTAGTTGCAACTGATTGTAGGATTATTTGTATAGGCTCATGGTGTCTGGAAACTCTGGGGTGGAGAGACCCCAATGGGGTAACAATCCCCCCAAAAGGATATAACCCAAAATAGGGTCTACAAGAAACTTAGGCTTGAAGTTACTGAAAAGCAGCATTATGTCTCTTCCTTCTAGTACTCATTCTGTTGCTCTCTCAATTTTCTTCTTTCCCTTTCACACATGTGACATGACTACCTGCTGCTTTCACTGACAGTTATATCTATGCCCTGTTGTTCCCACAAGAGGAGGGGCTGCTTTCTATAGCAAGTGTTGGTGGTCAATGCAACCCTATATGTGGCCAGAAGGGAACTAAAAACTGTGGTGGACAGTGCTGGTGACCTGCCATACCAGAGGCCCTCCCCTACCAGGCACCTGAAATATCAGAATAACTCTTTGTCTCCTCTAGTCATCTCGCTTGTGAGAAACTGAAGACAGGTGTGGATGGGGTGGCCATGACACTGGTTTCTGGACAGCAGAAGGGGTCCAGTGAGTGATGATGATCTGTTTGGCCTTTACTTCTAACTATGCGTGGAAATCTCACCACAGAGCCCTGGGAAGCTGCTACCAACTGAATGCATTAGCACTACAAGATGTGACCTCTTCACCAGCTGGGGTTTGATGTTAATTCAAATATAAAATGTCAGAACCCCTCACCTCTTGAGCCCCATTTCCTGTCTCCTTTGTCCTATCTAATATTTCTCCATTGCACTTATTTCTATCTAAAGTACTATATACTCACTGGTTTATTATCTGTCTCTCTCCAGAGTTGTAAGCTCCCTGGGGCAGGGATTTTTCTCTCCTTTGTTCTCTGCTATATCTTTAGTCTAAGAATAATGTCTGGCATATACTAGGGGCTCAATAAATATTCATACAAAGGAAGGGAGGGGAGAAAGAGAGAGAAGAGAAGAGAGAGGAGAGAGAATAGAGTAGGAAGGGAAGGAGAAAGGAGGGAAGAAAAGAGAATGAATGACAAGGCACCAAAGACAAGAGATGTATCTTTAAAAAGAATGTGGCCATTTATTTTATTATTTAAAATTGGAACTTGCATAAAATGACAGTTGCAGTGAACTCCACACGTCCCTGTGACATGAACTGTAGACAAGACCAGGCTGGACCTTTGCTCACCATTCTCAGGTCCAGTGGCCACAGCAGTCCGCTCTGTAACTTAATTTGCATCCACCACAATGTGTGACAGCCTCAGTTGCCAGTGTCCCAGAGCGGTTTTCTCAGGGTGACAGCAGGAAGGGGGTGGTGATCATGTACCATGGGGACTAGGATGTGGCTCTTGCTGCACTTCTCTCACAGCCTGTGGTCATCTGAAATAATGGTGAAGTACAAGAGGGAGCCCCAGGGGACAAGGGAAGGCTCAAGGTGTCTGGAAACTCTGGGGTGGAGAGACCCCAATGGGGTAATAATCCCCCAAAAGGATATAACTCAAAATAGGATTTACAAGAAACTTAAGCTTGAAGTTTCTGAAAAGCAGCATTATGTCTCTTCCTTCTAGTACTCATTCTGTTGATCTCTCAATTTTCTTCTCTCCCTTTCACACATACTTCGAGACGCCATCAGGCCGGTCCGGGAAGATTCAGAACACGCTCCTGCGGGTGTACAAGTGTGCTCCTGCGCATGCGTCTAGCTGCTGCCACGCCCTCCTCCGCGGTGGGGTGGGATGCGCAGCTCACACGTTGGTGTGCTGGGAACCTGCGGATGCTATGCTGCCTGGCTGGCTTCGGTTGGAGGGTGCTGAGCTGGCAGCCCGGCTCCTCCTGCTCTGATCCCCGCCTCCCTCGCTCTTCTGGGCTGGCTCTTCAGAGAGCTTGAGCTTTTCATGCTCCTCTTTCAAAAAGAAGTCCACTAACAAGCTCTTCTCTTTCTTGATCTGGTCGCTGATGTCTGTTGGGATATCTGGTATCATCCAGTCCACCAGAACACTCAGGAACATCACAAGGTTCTGCCAAAAGCAAGGGAGAGAGGGGCTGAGTGGAGAGGCAGACACGTCCAATATCAATGATGGTGCCTGTGTGTAGCGAGGCTTCATTTGATAATTGGTGGCTATTGCTCCTTCCCTTCAGCAGGGCTTGTTCTTGTCCTCCAATCCTCCAGGTCCTCCCTGCTCCAGAACCTTCTGGGATATGGCCACAGAGTGCAGTGGCCTCTCTAGAGCTGTAACTGTGACCCTTACTCCTTTCTCCCCTCTAGCTGCCTCTCTCTGTCCTCTCTGAGATGGGCTGTTGGTATTTGCATTGACTCCTGGTTTCAGTCTCCCTCACCTATAACTCACATCCACTGCATTCTGCCCTCAGTGTATCAACAGCCATCTGACCTGACTGGGACTTCCTGCCTCCAGCTCTCCTTGATCAATTCTAAGCTTTTGTGCACATTTGCATAGGGCTTCCTTCTTCTGGCTGCTGAGCCACATCCTTTCCCTTGGGTACACAGGTAAGAAAGGGCCATCTTTTCATGGAATCCCTAAAAAACAAATGCCAAATGTCTTCTTTGATATAAGGAAAGTAACTAAGAACAGAGTAGGGACGAAGAGCAGGAGAAGAAAATTAACATTTAACAGGGATGAGAGGTGGGAGGGAAAGGGAGAGAGAAGGGAAATTGCACGGTAATGGAAGGAGACCCTCAGGGTTATACAGTGGAGGGGGTAGAGAGAGAGGAGGGGAGGGGAGGGGAGAGGTGGGGAGGGGGGAGGGTGGAGGATGGGAAAGGCAGCGGAGCACAACAGACACTAGTATGGCAATTTGTAAATCAATGGATGTGTAACTGATGTGATTCTGCAATCTGTGTATGGGGTGAAGGTGGGAGTTCATAACCCACTTGAATCAAAGTGTGGAATATGATATGTCAAGAAATTTGTAATGTTTTGAACAACCCACAATAAAAAATTAAAAAAAAAATAAAATAAATAAAATAAAATAAAAAAAAACAGCATGGTACTGGTACCAAAACAGGCGGGTGGACCAATGGTACAGAATAGAGGACACAGAAACCAATCCACAAAACTACAACTACCTTATATTTGATAAAGGGGCTAAAAGCATGCAATGGAGGAAGGATAGCATCTTCAACAAATGGTGCTGGGAAAACTGGAAATCCATATGCAACAAAATGAAACTGAATCCCTTTCTCTCGCCATGCACAAAAGTTAATTCAAAATGGATCAAGGAGCTTGATATCAAATCAGAGACACGCCGTCTGATAGAAGAAAAAGTTGGCTACGATCTACATACTGTGGGGTTGGGCTCCAAATTCCTCAATAGGACACCCATAGCACAAAAGTTATAACTAGAATCAACAAATGGGACTTACTCAAACTAAAAAGTTTTTTCTCAGCAAAAGATACAATAAGAGAGGTAAATAGAGAGCCTACATCCTGGGAACAAATCTTTACTCCTCACACTTCAGATAGAGCCCTAATATCCAGAGTATACAAAGAACTCAAAAAATTAGACAATAAGAGAACAAACAACCCAATCAACAAATGGGCCAAGGACCTGAACAGACACTTCTCAGAGGAGGACATACAATCAATCAACAAGTACATGAAAAAATGCTCACCATCTCTAGCAGTCAGAGAAATGCAAATCAAAACCACCCTAAGATACCATCTCACTCCAGTTAGATTGGCAGCCATTATGAAGTCAAACAACAACAAGTGCTGGCGAGGATGTGGGGAAAAGGGTACACTTGTACATTGCTGGTGGGACTGCAAATTGGTGCAGCCAATTTGGAAAGCAGTATGGAGATTTCTTGGAAAGCTGGGAATGGAGCCACCATTTGACCCAGCTATTCCCCTTCTCGGTCTATTCCCTAAAGACCTAAAAAGAGCATGCTACAGGGACACTGCTACATCGATGTTCATAGCAGCACAATTCACAATAGCTAGACTGTGGAACCAACCTAGATGCCCTTCAATGGATGAATGGATAAAAAAAATGTGGCATTTATACACAATGGAGTATTACTCTGCATTAAAAAATGACAAAATCATAGAATTTACAGGGAAATGGATGGCATTAGAGCATATTATGCTAAGTGAAGCCAGCCAATCCCTAAAAAACAAATGCCAAATGTCTTCTTTGATATAAGGAGAGTAACTAGGAACAGAGTAGGGTCGAAGAGCATGAGAAGAAGATTAACATTAAACAGGGATGAGAGGTGGGAGGGAAAGGGAGAGAGAAGGGAAAATGCATGGAAATGGAAGGAGACCCTCAGAGTTATACAAAAGTACATACAAGAGGAATTGAGGGGAAGGGGAAAAATAATATAAGGGGGACAAACGAATGTCAGTAGAGGGAGCAGAGAGAGAAGAGGGGAGGGAAGGGGAGGGGAGGGGGGATAGTAGAGGATAGGAAAGGCAGCAGAATACAACAGACACTAGTATGGCAATATGTAAATCAATGGATGTGTAACTGATGTGATTCTGCAATCTGTATATGGGGTAAAAATGGGAGCTCATAACCCACTTGAATCAAATTGTGAAATATGATATATGAAGAACTATGTAATGTTTTGAACAGCCAACAATAAAAAAAATAAAATAAGAAATAATAATAATAGAATAATAAAATAAGAAATAGATTGCAGCAGTGTTAGGTGAAAACTGGCTGGTTCAAAGAGGGGAAGCTCCCCTCATGTGAGCCAAGACTTTATGCAATTTCAAGAAAATCATGTTCATCTAAATTCCAATAAACAATTTCCACAAAGGAGTAAGTTTGTTTCTGCCTGAGATGTCAAGGGAGGATACATGTACTACAGATTTTCCCCAGAAATATCAAAGTGCTTCTCCAGGAATCTTCTCCACTCAGTGTCCTTTTCCTAGGCTTTCTTCACAGGAGATCAGAAATCCCAGTCTTTACTTTCTTGTATTTATAAGACCCCACTATGATATGATTTCACTAGTTCAGGAGGCACCCACAACAAGAATCAGACTATGTCTAAAAGAGAAATTGAGAAAAAGACCTGTTGGGACCTTTGGGATGCTGGAGTCATTCATAGTCACATGGTCTACACAAGGTTTAGAAGCTGAGGTGAGTTTCATTTAAATGTTGCTGTAGGAAATCTGATAGCAAATGTTGAGGTTGGTTCTAGTAGAAAAGTTGCTGCTAGACTCTCCAGAGTTGAGCTGAGCTTTCATGTCTGACCACCTTACTGTGCTCAGAGGCATTTGAAGGAATAAACCTTACTTCTTCCACTGAAACAATATTAGTCACTTCCTATGTAATTTAAGTAGAGCACTGAGGGGGCTCCCCCTTTAGAAAGATTCCATTGCTGTGACTCTCTGTAAGATAATCATCTTCATGTTTTATACCTCTAAGACATAGTGACCACCTCTCTATACTGGAATTGTGGATTTCCACCCTATTTGCCCAGGATCAGAGCATAGACTGACAGGGATGTGCTGAAAACTCTGGTCAACAGGGAATGTGGTCTGCTGCTTGGCAAGTCTGTAAAATGATGGACAGTGGCGATAATTCCCTTTTTAAATTGGTGTTTTGAGATTAGGGACAGGAACAAAGATATGTTGTGGGTGGTTTTGTGAGGTAGAAGATTCAGGGAGAGCTGGGAAAGAGTTTCATGGAGAACTTGTTGTCTAGATTTTCACAAACCAAACATGGATCCTGAAATCAGTCCACCTCTACAATGCTTAGAGATGGAGCAAGCCCCACAGGGGCCTAGAATCTTGCATATCCCCTCACTGACAGTCAAACTCTGGAATTGGGAGTCTTCAGTGCAAACTGGCCCATGGGCTCCTTGTGTAACAGTTTTGTTGACAGTTTCTATTATGACCACACTCCTATGGTCATATATATTATTTATATAATAATATATAATATATATAAAACATATATAGTTTGTGATTCACCTCTTCCTCTGGAAAGGGTTCCATAACACTCCCTGGTAGGCAAGGATGAAAGGATTTCACATTAAAGTCTCCAAAAAAAATGCTGGCCTGTTTGGACTAGAATTGAGAAAAAAACAGCGTAAATATAGTTGCTCCACAGAAACCTCCCCAAACTGGTGTATTATACAAGTAGAAATTGTGGAAACAAGTGTCTACATTTTAATTACATCAGCAAGGAGAAATCATATACTTTTCTTGTATTTTTGTGGTTTTTATAGTTTTTAATTAGTTTTTATCTTTCCAATTCATATCATCTTTTATTATTTTATTGGTTTTCTTTGCACTTGCTTTATTGTCTCTCATCTGTATCTTCTCAATTTTTATTTTGTGATTTTTGTCTTCATTCTCCTTCCTTTGCCCCTCCACCACATTTTTTGTTTGTTTTGTCACCAGGGATTGAACTCAGGATATTCAATCACTGAGCCACATCCCCAATCATTCTATATTTTAATTAGAAATAGAGCCTCATGGATTGCTTAGGCCCTCACTAAGTTGCTGAGGTTGGCTTTATACTCATGATCCTTCTGCCTTAGCCTCCTAAGATGCTAGAATTACAGGCCTGCACCACTATTCTCAGTCCATTTTTGCCTATATATTTTAATATTAATTTTGGAATCACTAGTGCCTATTTTTTTGTGCATTGTACATTATCAGTTATCACTTCTTATAGGTTATTAAAGTTAGCGATCATTTTAAATAAGGTTTTTTACAAGTTAACATGTAATTTGCTTCCAGCAGATGCACACTCGCTCAGACCTCGGTGATCAGGTTCAGAACCAAGGCAGGCTTTCCTGGTGTGGAGCAGAAGACTGGTTGAGGAAGGGGTTGTAGGGAGGAGCTGTGGCTCTCACCAAGGTCCAGAAGAGGCAGTAGAGTTTGAGAGAGGTGAGGATCACACAGAGGCTCAGGAATGATGACAAGTGATGGGATGTCAGGTCCTCAGAAGGCTCTCGAGCTCCAGTACATCCTTGTTTTGGCTGGCTGAATCCCTGTTCATTTGCTCTATCAATTATACTAAATTTGGGGGCTTTTGAACCCCTTTTTAATCCTTATGAGCTACCACTGGATTTCTCAGTGACATTATTTATCCTGGGATCAGAAACATCTGGTCTGGTGGTCTCCACCCTGATCTTCTGGCCTTTCCCTCTTATCAGGCGAGGACAGCCTGCCAGAGGCTTCACTCTCTTTTATCAGGGTGAGGGGAAGTAATTTGTTTGAGGCCATTCTGGAGGGATCTGTGGATGTGCCTAGTGAAACTGCAGGTCTTTTAAAATGAAGTTAAAATGGGGTTGCTTAGGCTCAGGCCTAAGGTCATCCTGACGATTAGTTCCATCACATTCTATAATTGTTAATGGTATACTTAAAACTGTTGCTATCCTTGTTATTAGGACTCTATGGCCTTATATTTATTTCTAGGCTGTTTGGTATCATTATGTGTATATGAGAGATGATATGCAAAAACAATAAGAAAAATAATTTTTTAAAAATCTTACCTTTGAGCCAACTGAGGAAGAAAAAATACTCGGATAGTTCTTTATACTGATTTCCTCCACAGGAGTGGTTTCAATCACATTTTTCTTTTTAATATCACCATCACAGTTTCCAGGTAATGTTTTAAGTTTAGGTTCCTCAGTTTCATTTGTTTCTTCTACAAAAATAAAAGCAAAATAGAGAGTACAGAAAAAGCTCCATAATTTTAAATCTATAATCAGCTTGCAATAGATACTCTTCAAATATTTTACCATCATTCTTCGATTCATTAGAAGTGTGAGGTAATTCTCCATTTTCTTTGGGGATATCCTAGGAAGGAAAAAAAATATTTAGGTGTAATATGCACCAAATTTGAAAAATTAGCTTAACATTTTCCATTACTGCAGGATACAAGAGAAGGAGAACATGTTTCTGAGCCATTCCAATGTAAACTCAATTTAATCTTGCCACTTACTAAGCTATGTCTGCTCATGGGGTGAGGATGATGAGAGATCTCCAAAATGTTATTCCCCTTACCTCCAAGATAATTTCACAAATACTGACGTCCATTAAATTATTTTATTAATCCAAATGACCTAGGATGAAATTGAAGCCATCCATAGTTTAGAGTGCTTTTGAAAAAAAATGTATAGAAATTTAAAATAATTATGTGTGATATTTTTAATGTATTTTTGTGACATATATTGGCATAAATTATCTCTTGAGGGAAAATATGAGACCTAAGCTTTAAGAGAATCTTATAAATAAAACTGATAGAAATCACAAACAATATGAGTTCTGTCCATCTTGTGTGTTAAATAGCTAAAAATACATGTTAATATAAATGTTGAGCCTTCCAAGATAGAGAAGAATGACAAAAACAACCTTGTGGGGGCAATATCATTGAATGAAAACCTCACAGTTGCTAAATGGAAAGATTAACCAAATAACCAAAGAATGGAGACAGAGATGACTCAAAGAACATACAATGAAGAGAAGTTTTCTTCAAGAGAATATTGAGTCTTGGATTAAATAATTTAAAAAAATAAACAAGGAGTGAGAAACAAATGTTCATCTTAAGTCCAAATCTATGCTCATAATTAGAGGATGCTTGAAGAATATTCTGGTTCCTACTTTCATATTTATGAAATTTCCCTGACTAGTTTGCTTCTTCTTTGTGGCACTAATTCAACATAACTCACCTGAATTTATACATCCTAGATATCAAAAGAAAATTCAAACTTAAAGCATATTTTTAGAATTCAGTAGTTAATTAATAGTCATCTCATGCATGCTATGTTATTTAGAACACTTCATTCTATAGAAATTTATTTCTAAGCCAGGTATGGTGGTGCACCTCTGTAATCCCAGTGGCTTCGGAGGCTAAGACAGGAGGATCGCAAGTTCAAAGCCAGCCTCAGCCATGGTGAGGCTCTAAGCAACTCAGTGAGACTCTGTCTTTAAATAAAATACAAAATAGGGCTTGGGATGTGGCTCAGCAGTAAAGTGGCCCTGAGTTCAATCTTTAGTACCAAAAAAAAAAAAAAAAAAATTAAAAATAAAGAATTTTTTTCATGTGTTTTTACTCATTTATTCATGTTCAAAAAATTAAGAAGCTATTTCCTTACATTTGAACCATATTGTAGCTGCTCCAGGATATACGCAAATATATTTATTAACCTTGACTAGCTTATTAATATTTAAAAAGCTATTAAATGAATATTTAAATAACTAAGTAAAAAATGTCTAAAATATGAGATCTCAGAATGTGACATAAGCATTTGAATATTTTAAAACACTATGATACAAAAAATATAAAACTAAAGTCTTATCATATGGTTATTGAGAGTCTATGCTTCCAGTAGTGGTTATTATTTTTCACAAGACATCTATTTTTCAATTAGATAAAGAGTTTTAAATATACTCTTAGTGGAAAGAGTCAGAAGGCATGAAGAAATCCCTTTTTAATGCAAACATTTTTATAATGTTATTATATTTTTGTACATTTATTTACTTAGTTTTATATGATGCTGAGGAGTGAACCCCTTGCCTCACAGTCCATACTAGGCAAGTACTGTATAACTCAGCTACAACTGCAGCCCCTAATCTAAAGATTAATATACCTATTCTAAATTTGTATGTTTCCATAATTTCTAATGTTACTTTAGTGTAAAAATGGAGCCAAGGATAGAAATAATGAAAAAAGTCTCCTAGAAATATATTGAGTAAAATATAAAGGGTCTTTTTTTTTTTTTTTTTTTTTTTTTTTTAATTTTTTATTGTGGGTTGTTCAAAACATTACAAATTTCTTGACATATCATATTCCACACTTTGATTCTAGTGGGTTATGAACTCCCACCTTCACCCCATACACAGATTGCAGATTCACATCAGTTACACATCCATTGATTTACAAATTGCCATACTAGTGTCTGTTGTGCTCCGCTGCCTTTCCCATCATCCACCCTCCCCCCTCCCCACCTCTCCCCTCCCCTCCCCTCCTCTCTCTCTACCCCCTCCACTGTATAACCCTGAGGGTCTCCTTCCATTACCGTGCAATTTACCTTCTCTCTCCCTTTCCCTCCCACCTCTCATCCCTGTTAAATGTTAATTTTCTTAAAAAAAAAAAAAAAAAAAAAAAAAACCTCTATCCAATGTGCCTTATTTATTTCAAATTAAAGGCATAAAAGAAATTTCATGATTCTACAAAAAATAATTTGGGCATGAATATTATAAATCATGTAAGTATGATTTAAAAGTCACACTAATGTAAATCTAACAAAAAATCCTTGACCAAATTTCCTATTGCTTCTGCAATAAGAAATTTATTCCTGATGCAATTTTTCTATCAATATGTATTTACCAGTACAATGTTTCTTCCATCCCCCACCAAACTAAACTCCTCAAGGGAACATTGGCATTTGTACAAGTTAAAAAATATCAACATAATTCTCTTAAAATGGTTTTGTCTGAGCAAATTTGCATAAAATAGATCAGAAAACCATTGCTAAGTTTTAACACCTCAAAACCAAAAATTCAGAACAAGAAAATTAATTTCACAAAAGATCACTTTACCTTGTCATAATATTTATATTTGGCCTCATCCAAGGTGAGACAATGATCATCAGGATCAGTTTTATTAGAAATCCTGTAAAGCAAAAATGTATAATAAAGTAGTTGGATAGTATTTTTAATAAACTCTAGTAAAAACTTAGATTTAACTTTATTAAATTGTATTTCTTGACTGATATGATTAAAACATAACCTCTGTTTTATAAAGCTCTTTCTGCCTTCACTTTTTTTAAACTATGAGATATTCAATGATGGTAGTCTTAATTCCATTTCAGACTGACAGTGAATGTATTGGCAGAACTTGAGAATAAACTTATTCTCAGAAACTGCCTGTCTTGAAGGCTGAACTTAAAATCCAATTAATAGCTGCCACACACATCCACACACAAACACACACACTTTTTTTTTTAACCTTAAGTGGAACACCCATTTTATAACCCAAGACAAGGTAACAAGAAACAGTGCCTTCTCTCTTGGTTATCCATGGATTAAAGACTAAGTAAGGTAGTTTAAAATGGCGGTATTAGTTCTTCAGCATGGATATCACCTACTGAAAATACCCCATTGTGCAGCGTGTGGTGATGCATGCTTGTAATCACAGCAAATTGGGAGGTTGAGGCAGGAGCATTCAAGTTTGAAGACAGTCTCAGTGAATTAGTGAGGCCCCCAACAATTTGGTGACATTCTGTCTCAAAACCAAACATAAAATAATAGGGCTGGGGATGTGTCTCAGTGTTCAAGCACCCCTAGGTTTTGTCCCCATTGTAAAGAAGAAAAACAAAAACAAAAAGAAGACAGCAAAAGTGAGGCACTAAGCAACTCACTGAGACCCTATCTCTAAATAAAATTAAAGGTAGGGCTAGGGAAATGGCTCAGTAGGCAAATGCCCCTGAGTTCAATCCCTGATACCAGAAAAAAAGAAAGAAAGAAAAAAAGAAAAAGAAACCATGAAACCTTAAAAAAAATTTTGAACACTGAATGTTCAAAGTCAAGAAATGAATGTATATGTTGTTATTGAGAATACTTATTATAAATGTATTATGAATCCCACTTTATTCAAATCTACATAAACTAGCAAGCACCTATAACCTTTACAGGCCCTCAGATACCCAAGGGAAAAGATTGCTAGAAAAACAGAGTACTGGTAATCATACCTGTGTTTCCCTAAATATTATCTAAATATCCTCCTTCCTCTGGGATTCCACTCCCCATTCTCTCATCTGCAGGACTCAGTGGGACCCTCCAAACTTTAAACCTACATTGTATGAAGATGCAGATTCCTGATACAAGTTATACTCAAAGGACCAAGAGTCACAGTTCCTTCTGCTAGTGGGAAACAAACTGAATGGAGTCTCAGTCACAGGCCTTAGCATAAACATTTTACCAACTACCTAACTGAAGCTCTTCAATGACTTTGCCAGCCAATTATTTTCATGATCTACTATATGTGCACATAAGAAGGACATCAATGAGTTGAGAAAAGAAGTAGAGGAGAATGGACACTTGCTAGACTGTAGATCCATGTGTCCAACAAATTCTAGTCTCCTGGGTTTTTAGAGTCCCTAAGCCACTCTCAGATCTCTAAACTATGGAGACTTTTCCCATGGCTCAAATTATATTAACATCTTTTAAAAAACAAACAAACAAAAAAAAAAAAACCTTGAATTTTGTCACTTCTTCCAGTTAAACAAACAAGAAAATAACAACCTATCAGGACTTCCTTCAAATCTTATTTTTAATAGGCCTTTCTAGACAGCTTCCAATATTCTATGTCCTTAATATCCATTTTGTGTTAATCAAACTGGTCATAAACCCCAAGGTTTTGGTCAATTTTCTACAACCCTTATTTCTAGTAAACACAGTGCTGTTTCTCTTCAGTTTTGCCCTTCCATTTGTTAGTGTCACTCTGATACTCTATTACTGGGCTTACTTAGTAATCCCAGTCTTATCCACTTTAGTTGGGTTTCTACAGACACTCCCTAACCTGTTATGAACACATTTACTACACAATGATAATCAGGAAAAGTACTGAGTTAGCATGAAGGAACCTCAGTTTGAATCTTATTGCTATTCCTTTCTATATCCACAAAAGTCCCTTTCATATCTATACGTTTCAGGGTCATCATCATGACCATCATTTGGCCAGCATGTCAAATACATATTGAAGGGTGAGAGGGTACATTGATAGGTGAAAATTCCTTAAAATTCTTAAATTCTTTGAGCTTTGGATTCTTTCAATAGGAAAAAAATGAATATTCAATTGACACAACTTTAAAAAAATAAAGAGAGCACAACAAAAAATAAAAATAAAAATTCAAGAAAAGATTTTAATCATAGAAAAAGAAAACAAGATTATAAAGAAAAAAGTCTTCATAAAGGTAAATAGGGGTAGTAGCCTGAAGGAAAATGTAGCTCTTGATTTATAAAACAGTTTATAAAAACAGAGGTCAAAGATACGTGGGGTAGAATACTGAAGGAAACCAAACTGGGAAATCAGGAAGTAGAGATATCAATTAAAATATTCTCCATATGGAGCCTTAATATATTTAATATAACATGGTTTACACAAAGGTATCCTTAACTTCAAGTAAAATGATTCCTTTCCAGGACTAGCCTGTTCTTGTTTATGAAGAAAACATGATACCACAGCTTTGTGAGATTTTTCCTAAAAATCTTTGATGTACAAAAAAAGAAATTTTGTTATCAGTGAAACTGTCAAAAATATCAGGACAAACTCTATACCAAGGCTTCGCAGGTAAATTATGAGTCAGAATTAACACACAACTGACTTTGACTTTCTGAATTGATGATACAGACCTGCTTCTTGATTCTAGTACAGCACTGGCATCAACCTACACAGTAGGGCAATACAATGGAGTTGTCAGCCAGGCAAGCTTACAGTAACTACAGGCCTGGTACTTATTAATTGTGGGAATATGGGACAATTAGTCAACTTCTATGAATGAGTGAGAACTGCTTAATTAGTAAATAACAGGTTATAATAGCACAGACACTTTCAAAGTCATTGCGATGACTTTAACAAACAAGTGTTAGATGCAATTGTCTATCCTAGACTGGAACACTCAAAAAATATTTGTTCCTTTCATCTTCATTCTATAATTAGCTATCATACAATTTTTTTACTCTATAAAATCCTACCTTTTTAAATTGTCATCCGTAGAATCTTCATCCACTATTAAAGAAAAGAGTAAAATACATATTTAATCAACAATAGAAAATATAAAATATTAAAAGTGTATGAGTCTGATGCTTTTTTATAGAGAATTCTTCTAGGCCCATATATGGAGCCTTTTCTAGAATGAATATTAATTATATTTCTGATAGGCAATTAATGCATTAAGAACTCTTCAGTCCCATACTTTGCACTTTTTAAATGCAAGGAAGATGCATGGGATTTATCAAAATTTGATACCTAAAAGTAAAAGTAAACAGTCCCATGACTGTACTTTTACCTAAAAGTTACAAGATGGACAGAAAACAATATCATTAGCAGATTCAGGAGCATAGAGATGAAAGTGTCAAACAAATAGCATGATTTTTCTGGACTAATTGCAGTAGGAATAATTATCAGAGAATATTCTTAGGCTGTTATGATACACAATCGCTCCAGATTTTCAGTCAAAACTGCTCAGGTTAAAATGAAACCCTTTACCACAAGGAAGGTGGATGCATGGACAGTGTACTTTGCTGCATGGCAAAACTCAAGAAAACAGACCAGGAACTGGAATGCTTACATAGACATTCCAGGTTAAATATGAGGAGAGCTAAATAGAAATTGATATGTTAACCCTCACTAATCCTGTTCTGGTGAAGATATTATTCTCTTATTTCCAGATGCTTTCTCTCTTATGTGTCATATAAACAAGGCATTACCTCCAATGTGGGCAGTGAGGGGGGGACACTAAAAAGATGAAATCCTTGAGAGTTTGTACATTCTGGTATCTACTTTGTTGTCATAGGAAAACTTAGAAGTACTAGGGAGGTAGCAGCAAGTTGTCATGTAGAAATAGCTGATATGAGAAAGGATTAAAGTAAACTATTATGTTTTCAGAATGTGCCAACCATTGTCTCTCTGATGAGAAAAAAGTCCTTTCCAATGCATTTAAATTATGAAACAAAACAATGTTACTCTTTTGGCATTTCCCCCAAGAGAAAATCTACTGATAGGATACAGAATGGAGCTTAATGGTAGTGTGTTGCATAGAATGCATGAATCCTGGGTTCGATCCCTAGAAGTGAAATAATAATAGTAATAAAAATAACAAAAATTTTAAAAGAATGTCAGTTCTGTTAAAATTAAATAGTCTGATTTCATACTCTTCTCTGAAAATATTAGAATTACTTTTTAGATTATTTGAAGTACGTCATTAATTTGTAATGGCAAAAATGTAAAGCATATAGTATGAATAAATCCGAAGGGGCTTATACAAAGAAGGGGACATAACTTTAGACAATGTTGGATTTGCTAAATTTAAAGCACTTATGGAATTATTTTACTCAATATACTACCTCAAGCATGTGGCAATGTAATTATTTTTTCTTTGTTTTTATTGGTTCTTTTAATTTAAACATTAGGATTCATTTTGATCAAATTCTACAGCTTCGTTTTTTCTTTTAAATTCAGTCCCCAGTAGATACCCTTTTTCTCCCCCCCCCCTTGCTTTGTTTCCTTTCATCTACTGTCCTGAACTGTTATTTATATCCTTTTTTTAAAAAAAAAATTAGTACCTTGGGGACATACATGTTGATGAGATTCAGTATGGGGCTGTCATAAATATACATAGCAAATTTCATTGAGATTCTGTTTTAGTCCGATTTTTTATTGCTGTGACTACAGGACCTGACCAGAACAATTATAGTGGGGAAAGAGTTTATTTGAAGGTTTAAGAGGTCTCTGTCAATAGACTGCCAACTCCATTCCCTGGGACTCCAGATGAGGCTGAACATCATGGTGGAAGAGTAAGGCATAGGGAAGCAGCTCACTTGTTGAACAGAAAGCAGAGAGAGACTCTACTCACCAGATATAAAATATCAAAGGCAAACCTTCAATGACGCACATCCTTAGCCGCACTTTACCTGCCTTCAGTTACCACCCAGTTAATCCCATCAGGGGATTAATTCACTGACTGGGTTAAGACTCTCATAGCTCAATCATTTCCCCTCTAAACCTTCTTGCATTATATCACACATGAGCTTTTTGGGGACACCTCACATCCAAACCATCAAAGATTCATTCTGACAACTGAAGAGGAGATAATTTTAATTCATGTTTACTACTCTTTTTCTAGAAAGTTTTCCTATGGCAAGGCTGTAAAATACTTTTTGATGACCATTGTTATAAACTATGACTTCTTGAGATTGTCAGATTCCACTGAGACGATTTTATCTGGTCCCAGTAGAGTAGGATGTTACAGTTAGCACTGTGTTGTACAGCATGATCCAATTTTTTTTTCAATCCTTTTCATTATGTGGCAAATCTTTATAGACTTCCTGCTTTTTCTGCATGTAATCCATATGCCCTCATGTCCTATACTGGTGAACAAAAATTGGAAAACAAGGGCTATAAATGAAGCCCACTAATAGACAATGTGCCTATATCACATGATGTAATGTATTCAATCACTAGCACCACAAAAGAAAGAAAAACTAAAAAGTATTTTGTAAATGACTAGATTTAATTACGTTGGAACTTTAATATTTTAAATATACTATACTTTTCCAAATATAAGGTTACTCTGGAAAAAAATATTCCAGATATAATAGAGATAAGTGGTTGGAAGGGGTTACATGTGTGTTGAGGTGATTAGGAAGAAGATAAGCACAATAAAACATTTTGTTTCTGAAGCTACAACTATGAATACATGCTATTATCCATTTTTCTAAAAACCACAGTTGTATAGCACGCACCAAGAAAGAATCCTAATATAAATTAAATATGTGAGTGATAATAATGTATAAGTGTAGGCTCATCATTGTTAGCAAGAGTATGCCCCTAGTAGTGGACATTGATAATGGAGGAGTACTGTGAAAGTAAAGGAAGTACAGAAGAAAATATCTTTGTACCTTCCATATTTTTCTGTGAATTTAAAACTATGTATTAGGGACCAAGGATATACCTCAGTGGTAGAGCACTTACCTGGATGCATAATGCCCTAGATTTGATTACAGTACTGAACACAAAAAGTTACTAGATAATAAAAAAAAAAAAGATACTCACTGAGCTGACCATTAACAGTTAATAAGTATTATGGCAAGATAGTCACCTCCAAATTGGCGATAGAATATGGCTATTCTCATAAGTTGAAGAAATTGAAAATACACAAATGAATAATTTAATTACATATTTATGCAAAAAATAGTTTAAAAATGCCACAGAGTATTTCACCTCATTTTAATGAGACAACTCATTTTTAGTGACACAACTAACTAACTTTTATTTACTAAATACATTCAACTTATAGAAAAAAATATTAGAAAATACATTTGCTCTTTGGAACAATCTCAATTCACATTCACATTTTGGGTAGATACTGGAGTTCAGACATTTGCCACATCCCTGGGCACAGAGACTATAGTTCTTTTTTTTTCTTTTTTGAGAGAGAGAGAGAAAATTTTAATTTTTTTTTTTTTTCAGTTTTTGGCGGACACAACATCTTTGTTTGTATGTGGTGATGAGGATCGAACCTGGGCCGCACGCTTGCCAGGCAAGCGCACTACCGCTTGAGCCACATCCCCAGCCCACACAGACTATAGTTCTACAGGCGGAATATATGACTTTCTGGCACAACCCTCATAATGCCAAAGCTCTGCAGGTATGAAGGGCTTGCTGCTATGCAGGCATTGACAATTGCCCTGGGCAAAACTAGGACAGTGTGTGCACATACAACTCATGTAGAAGAAATTCTTGACTAGATTTTGCTTTGTGTTACTTTCTTTTTAATTATTACTTTGTCATTTTGTTTCATTACTTTTATCTTATTGTCATAATTTAATAGAATTTTTAAATTTTCTTCTAATTTCTCATTTTTCCTTTTTTTAAAATTAATTTTACTTTTATGAACCTTTAACAATTTAGTAGATCCTAAATATTTTATCCTTTTCTTCTCTGTTGTTACTGGTGTTTTTTTTTTCTTTTTGATTGTTTCTGTATACCTATATCTAGTTTGCCTTCATGCTGTATTATTGTTGTTTGTCTTCTTCCATCTGCATTGGGGATCCAGCCCCATTCCTTGAACACATTGGCAGGTACTTTGCAACTTCTAAAACCCACAGCAAAGGTAAGAAAAAATGCATCTTACTTTCCACGGAAGACGTACATTCCCACTTATAACTTGGCAGGTACTTCAAGTCAAATAACAGGGTAAATAAAAGCCCCCAGCTGACATGTACCCATGTTGGTATGGATCGAATGTACTATAATCCAGTGTTTGGCAGCCACCCTCATAGCATGAGCAGGTAGGTGAAACAACTCTGTTTACAGAGTTGTGCAGGTATGAAGTCTGCACCAAGCAGCACCTCAGCCTAGGTTGTTGGAGGCCATGACCATGTCAAGATGGTGCCTGGCAGTTTGCCAGGAGGAGTGGCTTGTGAGGCAATGCCACTGAGTCATCAAGATGGTGGGGACTCCTTATTGGCTGATTGCTGTATCTGTAGGGGAGCAATGCTATGATTGGATGATGCTGATTGAGTCATGCTTTATGTAAATCAGTTAGATATATATACTTCTGCTGTTCTACAATAAAGCAGTTACCTTCAGTTACTGCTTCAACCTTCAGTTGCTTGTCACCTCTCAGTTACTTTGCCCAGCTGGACTGTGGCACTAGGTCTCTCCCGTGCCTTTGCAGACAGAAAATTATTGACAAGGCTACACTAATGACCACAAAAAATGCAGCCCACATAATCCACTGCCTACATCATGTGACTCCATTCTCACAAGATTGACAAAGAAAGTTGGTCCTTCAGGCTATGATAGTACAAACTGTGACAAAATCCATGAATCACAGTCAGGTAAAACATAAAAGTCTATAATACAAAGTCTATAATTTGGAAATAATCTTGACAAAATAAACCAATAGCCCAGGATACATCATCAAGAGAAGGTTATTTCCTAAGAAGACTCTCACATAAATGTGGAAGAAACATACATCCCCACAGATGCACAAAATTTAGCACAAATATAAGATGAACAAGTAAGGTAACATGGATCCTCCAAAAGTTCATAACTCTCTAGCAACTGATTCCAATGACACTGCAGTAGACAAAATGCCAGAAAAAGGATTTAAAAAGATTAAAAATAATGTATGAACTCAAAAATGATACAAATAGAAGATAAATAAAGTAATAAAAACTTTACAAGGCATTAGAGAACAGTGCAAAAATAGAGCTTCCGAAAAGAAATCAAACAGCAATCTTGGAAATAAATAGCTTAATATTTCAAATTAAAAAAAAATAAATCTAAGTTTCAATCATAGACTAGATTAATCAGAAGAAAAAATATCAGAGTTGGAAGGCAATGATGAATGTCACGTTTAGTTAGTTATGACAACAAAAAGAAGAAGAAACAGAATATACAAAGTCCTTGGTACCTGATTTATAGACTAAACTCATGAATTATGAACATAGACAATGGTGTATTACTACAGGCTTATAGGCAATGCAATTTATTTGGAGAAAAAAATAGCAGAAAATTTCTTAAATTTTTTGAATGTTATGGATGTCCTTGGGGCTGGGGATGTGGCTCAAGCGGTAGCACACTGGCCTGGCATGCGTGCGGCCCGGGTTCAATCCTCAGCACCACATACAAACAAAGATGTTGTGTCTGCCAAAAACTAAAAAAAAAAAAAAACCCAAAAAACATGAATGTTATGGATGTCCAGATACAGGAAGCATTTAGAACACCAAATGGACATGACCAGAATAGAACTTCTCCACGTTCGTTTATAAAAATTGCCAAAAGTACATTGAAAGATGTAAAAAAGGCCAAAGCACTTATAGAATAAACTCATAAGAACATAAGAGTTATCAACAGAAACTTTGAAGGCCAGGGAACATGAAATGGTATATTTCAAGCCTTTCAGAGAAAAGAAAGAAACAAAGACAAAAACTTAAGATGGATGGAAAGGCTGGCTATTATGTTAAGCAGAATAAGTCAGAAACATAAATCAAATATCACATTCTCTATAACATGTGCAATTTGAAAACAAATTAAGAATGACTAGGAAATGGAAAAGGGGTTATTAGGAAAGAGGGAAGGTAACAAGGGATGAAGAAATGAAGGGACAGATAGAAATGGAAGTAGGGAAAGTGGTTTGGGACTCAAGTACTATTTACATATGTATGGAAATATCACTGTAAAATCCATGAATTTGTATACACAGTAAGAGTTGATATCTATAGTAAAAATAGAACATCTGTTTTTATTACAAGTCCACTTTGCTACAATGTCATTATATAGGAAAGACAACATGCTAATTTGAATTTTTTTACTTATTTATGCACATAAATATAAGATTTCAGGGGCCAAGATTAAGTTAGCCTAAAATTACTTCAGACAATATCATTTCAGATTATAAATTTCCTACAATTAATGGCTTAAATAATCATGAATTCTAGATTATTAATAAAAATATTAAGAACAATATGAATGTAACACATTAATTTCTCCACTGCTCCTTAGCAGTCCAAACTTTCTTACTCTTATTTATTTACTTAGGTACCAGGAATTGAGCCCAGGAGAGCTTAACCACTCACAGACATCCCAGTCCTTTTGTAATTTTTGAGAAAGTGTCTTGCTAAGTTGCTTAGGGCCTTGCTAAATTGCTGAGGTTGACTTTGAACTTGCAGTCCTCTTGCCTCAGCCTCCTGAGCCACCCAATTACAGGCTTGCCAACACTGCACCTGGCATACTCTTACTTTTCTTATATAAGCCATGAATACCATGATTAATTCACTTTCAGAAGTCTTACCTGGGTTGATATTTTCAGGATGTTTAGATTCTACTTTCATATATTGAAGAATTAATTCCTTCAGGCTATAGATAAAAAATGAATCAAATTAGCATTTTAATATTGGTATAAAAACAATAACCAAACATTCAATATATAATAGTATTTTAAACAATATTAGATCTTATATCAGAACTTTATAATATGCACTTCAAATTTGTAAGCCCAGACATTTTATTAACTTGACAATTATTTGTAAATTGTTTGGTTTTCTTTTGTTTTTGAGATGGGATTTCACAATGATGCACAGGCTAGTCTGGAATTCCTTGGTTCAAGGAATTCTCCTGCCTCATTCTCTCCCCCAAGTAGCTGTGGTAAATACACATGCCATTGCACCCATAAGCTTATATTAAGAAAACAAAGTAAGATAAAATGATCATGAATTGAGAACAATATAGGTAAGTATATTAACTGATATAGCTAGAACTCAGAAAATGTCATGTAAATAATAGCTCTTTCTTCTTGCACAATTAATTTCTCTTAAAATTAAGGGCTTCTTCTAAAAAATAAGGGTTGTACCACTTTAGTTTACAAAGTTGTTAGGAAGACTCTATGAGGTAATATTAAAACATGTCAAAAGAAATAGGAAAATAATGGCATAATTTGATCTTTTTAGTCAACTATAATTGGAATCCCAAATAAACCAATGTGTATTCTTCACAGGTTCTAATATTCAAGTGTTGAAATTACTGAAAAATGCTTTTGAGTTCTAATTTTGGTTACTGATTGTAGTCTTTTTTGTGCTTTATGTCTCAGGGCAAATTAGACATTAAATAATTTATAACAATTTATTTTTAACTATCATATCTCTTTAGAGAATATATTCATCCCCTATTGTGAAACTAATCAATAACACCAAAAATGGGAAATTAACCAATGCCAAGAATTGGCTTGGACTGCTACTATTTCTTCTTCACCTAATTGAAAAGAATCAATGGATAATTTTTAGAGGAAGCTAAATCTCCATGTCGACCTCTAACTGACTTGGAAGACCAAATCCTCTTTACACATGGATACTAATAAGTCATAATGGGGCTTAGCGCTCTTAGATTCAATGAATCTACTTTAAGCTCAGAGAACTTATCTCTTCCTTGTAAGGGAGAACTTGATATATGCTGAAAACTTTAGACTGATTGCAATAGTTTGGGAAATTTTCTTACTTTGGAAAGCAAATCACTAGACACACCCAACCTGGGAAACATTAATATTGGGCCTCCTGCAGTAAAAGAAAATATACTTCAAGGGATGAGAGGTTTCGAGGAACACATATTTTAGGGAAGATGATTGGAAATTCTCATCTCTTCAGTGATATTATTTGAAGCTATCTGATAGTTCTGAATGATTAGTTTATGCAAGAAAAGACAAAGTCCTCAAAGGATAATGCATGGGGGTTGTTCCACATAAAGGTTTGAGTTGTGGGACAGGGCCAGAGTTCTTAATATGTGTGTGGCTAAAGCTAGGAGGCCAAGTTGCCAAAACAGAATTCTGCTGTTTGGGAATAATAGCTGAATAAACAAGCATATGTATATATGAACTAAAAATAGCGTTGTAACTTTTAAATCTAAGTGTGCATTACCATGAATACTCAGGGATTGGGATCAATCAGGACATTTTGTAGTAAAAGTTACTCATCACCAGACTGAAGAGCCAGTTCTAACAGCAACACCACAGCAACAGAATTGACAGAGAAAAATTAACATTTTAAAAGTCCTTCCACCTGCTCTTTAGACTTTAAGGAAATTCTCAGGTCCTTGGGAAATTAAAGAAGGGTGGTAGAAAAGCTAACTTTCATAGGAGAGTAAAAATATTTTCTGCTCAACTGGGCATTTTAAGACCCAAATGGCTAATTATAAAAATCAAAGTGTGACACTATTGCTACTCCACAGTTAGGAGTTATACTTGGAACGAAAGAGATAAGACTGGGAATCATAATGACAAAGTTTTTTTTAAAGAATCCTAAGATGCTGACTAGTGATGTATCTCAGTGGTAGAGCAACTTACTAGCATGTATAAGGGAAAAAGTAAAAAAAAAGGGGGGGGGTGAAGAAAGGAACCTCTGAGAAGACTCTTACATTCATCACTATTTTTGTCTAGACTTTACAGGGTTCCTGGGTGATGAACTCTAACTCATTATCATTCCACATATAGCTGTACTATAAAATCTCACCTCATGTGTAAAATGCAATAGTTTTTTAATTATTTTCAGCCTCCAATCAATATTGATTAGTATTTTAATGTAAATACTTACTTAGTATCACCACTAGCAATAGCATAAGCTAATGCCATCTGCCCAAAGTTATCTGCAGCAGAGACATCAATACCACTCTGAAGAAGCATCTCAACTACGTGTTTTGATTTTTGTTCCAAAGCAAACATGAGGGCTGTTCTATAATAAGAGAGATAACGTCAACTTTAAGTATTTTAATAAAGTTATTCAAAGAGCTAATTTATAATATTTTCTCAATTTGACATCTTACTTTACAGATATTAATAGACATAAACATCTAAGAGAACAAATATTCACTTTTGCAAATCATCTCAAAGTCTAAAAGGAAAAAAAAGAAAATCTCTTTTCCCAATGAGGGAGATGTTAACAAACTTAAAATCCTTCAATGGACAGTAACTATGATGAGGTCATTTAACTGAAATTGGTAAAACTTTTTTTGAAGAAAGCTCCATTTCCTTCTTAGTGTGAAACAATGTACTGTAACTCACTGTCAGCTAAAGGTCAAGCAGAAAAGGCTATTTGCACACTAATAATAACAATAAAATAATAATCATTATTTCAATTAATGGTACTAATAAGTATTTGCTAAACATTGAATGCAATGCAATATGTACAATTTCACAATCATCCTTCAAGCATGTATTATCCTATTTTTCATATCAGGAAATATATTTAGTCATAAGTATTGTTTTTAAGGTGATGTACTACAAAAGCTAGGAATAAAATCCAATTGTGTGAGAATCCAAGGCTTTTTTTTTTCTCTTTAAAACCTGCCTATGTCTTATCTTTATTAAAGAAAATATTTATTCCATTAAAGCTACTTTCTTCCCTCTGTACCTTCCAATTAAAAGCAAAAGCACCAAAATATGATAAAAATGAACAGCATTTGGCAGTAGCAATTAATAAACACTTAGGAATAAACTAACATCAATATTCTACAAGGAAAGTAATTTAGAACAGTCAACCAAATAAAAAAATAATTTCCAATGCCTATTTATGATCAATACATCTTTTCCAAGAGAAAAATAAATCAGATGCAGAAGTTAAAAATATAATAGAAACCAAAATGTAAACTAAAACTCCATATTTTACAAAACTAATAGTAATAGTAAAACTCTTTAGTTAATACAAAATCATGTGAGCAATAAACCAATAACTAATATCTGCCAATAATTTTGAATCATATTAATATACTTATTTGTATTTCTCAATTCGAATAATTGATTTTTTACCTTAACTGTGGTTTGTTTTTTATATCACTCTTTTCTAAATATGTTAATATTGACCTTCCCATTAAACTAGTCATTTTTCCATGAGTGATTGTTACTATATAAATAATATATATATAAAGTACCATACCTTCCCTTCTGGTCAACTGCATGTATATTTGCTTTGTTCTGAATTAATGTTTCAACCATCTGCTGTCTGTTTTGCTCTATGGCAAGTAAAAGTGGTGTATAGCCCCTCTGGAAAACAACAAAAATTTTACAAAATTATTCAACTGAACTGAACCTCTTACAAAGTGCTGTCTGAACATAAGAATATAACAAATATTGTAAATTAAGAGTAATCTCTTCCTTCTCATCTCATTTCACTTTCATATTTTCCGACCCTTAACTTTGCAATGTCTCTCCTCTACTTAGAGTGGCCACATAAACTCTAGTCATTTCTTGAAGACAGAGACCTCTTTTCTCAATAGCCCTGTACCCTAAAACAATTAGTAAATGATTTAAATATTTTATTTAATAAGCCAAATTTTTAACTCTATATCAGGGTTTATTAATCTACATATCAAAGAATACATACTTTTCCAGAAATACCAACCCTTATCAGAAAGGTTCCTTGATTCACTGTTAGAGAATATTTACAAGACTGTGCATTATATATCCAGTACTACAGAAATATCTTTACTATTGCTTAACACTTCTTTGACATTGATTTTTCATAGCAAACATTTACATGTGAAGAACTAAAGTTGCAGGTATACACTTTCCAATAACATGGAAGTTTTTTCTTCATGTTACTCAAGTCCTCTTGATTCTATTCAATTTATGGTGTCAGAATCCCACATACCAATATCAGGCACTTTTGCTCCAAATTGTTCACAAAAGAAGTGGGATCTGAATTGAAAGAATAGACTTTGAGTAGACTATGCTGCTTTTTTTCTTAAAGGAAAGGAATTGAATCTTGTTTTCTGCTATTATTAGATAAAAAATATTTACCTTCCATGTTATAAAGATGAAATCAAAAATATATTCTCCCTGGGAATCAGTGAAAGTCTGTCAGCTACTCAACTGATAGGGGGTTAATATCCAGAATATATAACACAGACAACAATATACCCCCAAAACAACCTATTACAATAAATGGGAAAAAGAACTGAGGAGACATTTTTCAAAAGAAGAAAATGAATGAACAACAAATATATAAACAAATGTTCAACATCTCTAGCAATCAGAGAAATGCTACAATAAGGGCTAATATCACTCCAATTGGAATGGTAATGAGCAAGTATACAAACAACAATAAATGCTGGCAAGGTTGTTTGGATAAAGGAACATTTGTACATTGTTGGAAACAATGAAGACTAGTATGTTCACTCTGCAAAGCAGTTTGAATATTCCTAAAAAAATCTAGGGATCAAACCACAATAGAACCAAGATATTTCACTCCTGGTTATTTTTGTAAAAGAACTAAAATCAGCATACTATAGTGATATAGCTACTTCAAGTTTATAGTAGTCCAATTCTTAATGACTACATTATAAAATCAACCCAGATGCCCACTGATGGATGAAAAAATTAAGAAATTGTTGTATGTATACACAATGTCATTCTACTCACCCATAAAGAATAATTAAATTATGGAATTTGTTAGTTAATGGGTGGAAATGGAGAATATCATGTTAAGTGAAAAAAGACAAACTCAGAAACTCAAAGGTTGAATGTATTCTCTAATATGTGGAAGCTAGGATAAAATGAAGAAAAGGAGGAAGGAAGGATAGGATATCAAAAAGATACAGGGAAGATCAGTAGTGTAGTAGGAGAAGATGGAGGGGCCAAGTAGAAGGATAACAAAGGAGAGTCAACAAATAATGAACTCTTCAAAAATTATGTTATGTGCATATACAAATATACCACAGGAAATGTCATCTTTCTGTTTAAGTAAAAAGAACCAATCAAAACTAAATGGAGAAGGGAGCATATGTCTATCAGAGTAGAGGAAAGAGAACAATGGAGGACAGGAAGGACAGAAGGAGAGAGGGTCAGGAAAGGAATTGAATCTTGAACTGAAATCAAATTCCATGCATGTATAATTTTGTTGGGATAAACCCGACAAAACTACTAAGTGTAACAATGACTATATATACTACTATGTATTCAACTTCTATGTATAACTATTACAATCTAATAAAAATAAGATCATAACATATATCCTCAGTTTTAATGGTAAATCTGGGACCCTAATGAACATCTGGTTTTCAAGATTCTTTTACTCTTATGCCATTTTAGTTGCTACTTAAAACAATTTATAAATTGAGGCAAAATGTAAGTCAGAAATTTTTCATATTGATGAGCTTCATAGTGATCTATATCGATAAATTGTTTTTTGCATAATGAAAGATACTAAATCTATTGCATTTTTAAGGGACAAAACTGAAGAGAAAGAGATAGTATTGCTTGCAGTGTGAATAATTTTTTTATTTATAACAATGTGTAACCTAAACAGGCTTTAAAAATTCCAATGGGAATATGATTTTTATAGTATACATAAGAAAATGTGTTTAAAATTCTAATTTATGAGAAATGGAAGATAGCAGAATAAAGGAAGCTGCATTCCAAGCTGTGCTGTGTTAAAAGACCAAATAAGTGGGTATACAGCTTCTCAGCCTAGGTAGGTGAAGGAGAAATTTCACCAAAATTAAATATTGGACATTCAAAGAAACTTAGGGATTCCAAAATTTGAGTGTAAAAAAAAACTGAAGAAAGAAAGTGCCATTTCCCATGACCAATGGCTGCCAGAAATGGATTTGGCACAGACTTGTTGACTTACAAGGGGGAGTAAAGGAGGTTGCATTGCAAGCTGCATCTTTGGAGTGTCTTGATTCAGAGAAATCTCACATCAGAAACACTGCCTAAACTCATGTGATCCAGAGACTGCACTAGATGCTTAAAAATCATGCTCTGTTGGAAGGGGAAAGGGGAGTTCTATTCATTTCTCCTTTGTGTTTGGCAGCTGAAAGACCATTTGAAAGGGGCCAACAATATGAGTCGTTGAGGGGCAATGCAGTCAAGGACTAAATCCAGAAAGGCTATGCTCTGGGGCTCCAGTGAGTGTAGAATCATCCCCTATGAACCACAATTAGATTTCTTGGGAGGCTTCTGAGAACCAGATCCATTGAAGAAATTGGCTGCTGTGTAGCCTAAGAGTAGGTCAATCTAGTTTCTTCAAAGAAAGCCAGGTGCAACAAAACCTAATTAGACCTGAGGCCAACTAGATCTCAGTGCCAGCAGGTAGAACATCCCTTAAAGAAAGCTGCAGAAGTGGTAGCCCAGGAGTGCATCAAACTGGTCCTAATGGACACTACTAACTCATCCCCCTTCATGCAGAAAAGAAGAAAATACCTCTTACGTAAAACAGCTTCAATCTTAGGCCACTCCAACTAGTAACAAAAAAAGCAGGAAGAGGTTAACATCCACTTCCTTTGCTCTATCAGTACATAACTAAAAGTTATACATAATTTTAGTACATAATTTTTAGTTGTAGATGGACATAATACTTTCATTTTATTTATTTATTTTTTTATGTGGTGCTGAGGATCAAATGCAGTGCCTCATATGTGCTAGGCAAGTGCTCCACGACTGCATAACCATCCCAGTCCTCTCATTCTATCTTATCTTCTGGTAACAACCAAATTCTATTGTTCTCTCTCCCTCTCTCCCAATACCTTTTTTCTTCTATTTTCCTTATCTTCTTCTAAATATTACTGCCAAATATCTTCTGCACTCTCTCTGTTCACTTTCTTATAAATCTTAACTAACTTTGTAAGACATTTCTTTTTTCTCACTTAACTGCATTTTTAACATTGTAGCTCCTGTCCCCCACATTTAATGCTAATACAATTGTTAGTATTGTAGGTTATATGACTGACACCTGCTATTGGCTTTAAAGCCACAGCTAGTTCATGGTTATTGTTTATAATTTGACAATTGCTAAATTCACTACTCCTCTTTATGGCTACATTAATGTTGAGATATCAGAGCAGGATCTAGGTATTAACGTTAACTCTGTGGTATATTATTTGGAACAGTTATCACTACTGTTTCTTTCAACCCTATTCTATGTTGTGTTGAGAAGCCACAGGGACACTAAGAGTTCACAGGTTAAAAAATGTATTGCTGAGGGAAGATGGCGGCGAGGGGAGTGCATTACCCCCATGTGCTGCTTCACTGTGTGGGAGTATGACAAGTCAGGACGGCTAAAGGATATCTTGTTAGGAATTTCCAGCAATAGTGGGGTGCGCCGGAACCTGGAGGAAGGATTTCCATCGCATGAGGATCGGCTACGGGGACTCAAACGCGAGAGGTTTGTCGCACGGAGGGTAACACTGCTTATTCAGCAAATCGCCCCGCGGCTAGAGTCTGCAAGGCGCGCTGGGATAGAGACGCAGGGTTACAGCGCTGCAGTTTCTGCCAGACGCGCAAGCACCGCACTCAGGGCTGAATTCTGGGTTCGAGACGGGGAAGGAAGCGGTCCATCTCGGTTCTCCACACCGGTCAGACCACAGAGGAGGCCAGCAGCCACCATGTTGGTAAACTGACGTCACCACACCTGTTTTTGACTGACCGCAGCTCATTCAGCCATAGAACAGGTAATTTCAGGCTGCAATTCGCCTGCGGCTTGCAGACAGATTGCTAGGGTTCAGCGCCTGGGGGCTTCTTAAAATCTGATCTTATCGGAGTGAACACGGAGCGCGGGGCGGCCGAGTCCCAGCTCCCGGAACCGTCCCGGAACCGCCCTGGCTCCGGGCTGCGGAGCCTGCGGAGGCTGCTTCTTGGACCCTGCTAATATCAGAGCAAACACGAAACACCAAGAAGCCGAATTCCAGCTCCCGGAACTGAGCCCGCGGGGACTGCTTCTTGGAGCTTACACTTATAGGAGCTTACACCGAGCACAGAGCGGCCGAGTTCCGGCTCCCGGAACCGTCCCGGAACCGCCCTGGCTCAGGGCTGCGGAGCCCGCGGAGGCTGCTTCTTGGACCCTGCTACTATCAGAGCATACACCAAACACTAAGCGGCCGAATTCCGGCTCCCGGAACTGAGCCCGCGGGGGCTGCTTCTTGGAGCCTACACTTATAGGAGCTTACACCGAGCACGGAGCGGCCGAGTTCCAGCTCCCGGAACTTCCCTGGACCGGGGCTAGGAGCCCGCGGAAACTGTGTCTCGGTCCGGGTCCTGCTGAGGGC